TCAATTATTATATGATTTCAAATTAGTTAGTGTACGTATATGGAATATAAACGATAGTAAAAAAATCAGTTTTAAATCATCAAATCAATCTGAATAATGAAAATCAGTTGTTCGTCATAAAATCAATCTGATTTTTTGAAAATAATAAGTAAATAAAGTGATCATTACGGGAGGGAAGACAATTCAATCTGAATTTTAGGAAAAAACGTACATAAATAGACTCATTAGGAGACCATATAAAAATAGAATATTTTATTCTATCGAGTGTGAACGCAAATACTAATTCTTATTATATGGTATGTGCTAAATTTAACAAATTTCCATTACGCAACTAAATCTAAATTGACCCGTGAGATAAAGAAGACCCGTATCCAAAAGGAAATCCATTGTTCCTTCAAAATATATTATTGAAAGAATGGGAAATAAAGAGACGAAGATTAGTGGAATAATGGTCCTCTTTAATATATAATAATATCCGCGACTATTTCGGAACAGAACAAAAGCACCAACCCCATTTTTTTCTCACACTCCGTACGTACTACTGCGACTTTAACTCTTCTTACGGTTCTATTCTCTAACGCGTTTTTAAACAAAATAAGTAGTTGACCAAAAACACAAACACAACAAATCTATTTCCGGACAGAAATCTATTTCTGTTATCGGAATAATGGCCATCTTATTATATATGAATAGTTGAAGTTTCATATTTTATGTTTTAATCATTTTACTTCTTAAAATTCAGCACCGGGAGTTATTGTCTTAAGGAAAAAAACCTTAAAAATACCTCATTTTATAAACATTTGCTAGAAAAATACCCAGACTATTAACGCTACCTGAAAAACACCTAACTTATATTTGGCTATTTATTTAATACCCGAACATTCAAAAACTGTAAGTTTAACTCCCCATTTTTAACTCCGTTTATCCGTTCAACGGAAACTCTAATATGGTGTTAATTCCCTGTCAAAAACTTTAACAGCACGTGTTTAATTAGCGATGAAAAACATTAAGTAATCCTGGTCGAGAAATAAGTTGTCTTCTTCTTCTCCAAATCGATTAAAACTGTAAACCCTAAATCATAAATTTCTTCCTCTCTCGATTTCATCAAGCAAAATGGAAAACTCATCCTCATCGGCGAAAATGCTCCAACACATGAAATCTGGATCGACAACTAAACCCTCCTCCACGGATTCTCCACTGTATAATCGCTTTCCATCCTTTATAGACATAAGCCCTCCATAATGCAAATTTACTTTGAAAGAATCACTGCACATCAAACAGAAAATTAGTGAAGTCGAAAAACTTCATAATTGACACACACCTTAACCTTAACCCTGAATTCAACCCAAATTTCTAAACCCTTAAAACCTTATCTCATTTCGCAACTCTCGCAAAATCACTTCCTTCTATTAACAGACGATGATCTCTTTCGGTGAAAGAGATTGACGAAGATGATCGAATTCGAAGTCGCCGTGATGAAGATTGATTTAGGTTTTTCAATTTGGGGAAGAACGGTGGATTTAGGGTTTTCAATTTGGGGGGGAAATCAGTCGATTCAGGGATAATTCGACTTCTTCCTCGACAAAGGGGTAATTTTGTCTTTTTCTCTTTGATTAAACACGTGTTGTTAAGGTTTTTGACAGGGAATTAACACCGTATTAGAGTTTCCGTTAAACGGATAAACAGAGTTAAAAATGGGGAGTAAAACTTACGGTTTTTGAATGTTCGGGTATTAAATAGGTAGCCAAATATAAGTTAGGTGTTTTTCAGGTATCGTTAATAGTCTTGGTATTTTTCTAGCAAATGTTTATAAAATAAGGTATTTTTAAAGTTTTTTCCCTTGTCTTAAAGATTTGTCAAAAAATCAATGAAGTTGACTTTCTTATCTTTATTTCAAAGTCAGCGTTTACTTTTACAAGATCAAATTCTAGGATTATATGCTATTTTTAGCATACGATATTTATATATATATATATATATATATATCGTAAGGACATATAATTCTGTGAATAGCACATCCAGAATGCATAGTACAAATTTAAGATAAAACATGGACAAACCGGTTTTTACAACTAGCGCGAGTTGAAGAAATTTTTTCAAATGTTATAACATAAATCTTACAAAATGCATGCAGTAATCTATAGTTGAATAATTCTTTTCCAAATTAAACAGTCAAGAACGACATGCTTTCACATTATCACTGATTCCACCATTTTACATTAGTTTATACTTTACAGTATCAAGTTATTAATTAAGCGATATAGCATGGCAACCACTTTCGCTCTTCAAATAATTCATAAATTATGATATATAAGTATATTATAGCATTTATTACATGAAGTCAAAAATTTAACAGCTCTTTGTATTAAAGTTACTTGCATTCAGATTAAGAATTCGAAAATATCTGAAAGAAACATAATGAAACCTAGTAGATATAGCTGAAGTTTTCTGGTCAATTCATTAATTAGCATCATGAACCAAAAATAGTCTCTAAATATACCAGGTACTATTTTTAAACTGTTTGCGTCCATATTCAAGAAAGCGGTGTTTATTTTATGTTAGTTTTCGGACAAATGATTTTTGTTTCAAGAAAAATGGTCCCTAACACAGTACGTAACGTTTGTATACAAATGTTGTTGATCAGCTAAAAGCAAATCATCGCCAACTGCACCAAGTATCAACAATTGCCTGAAGACCTACATTTGAGAATACATAAAAAATCACTTGATTTTGACAAAGGATTATATTTATGAGTGGTCCTACGAATAGCATCTTTTAAAACGTTATTCGAAGAAGATATCAATTGTGAGAAGCGGGTAAAATAAACATTTTTCATAATTGAAGATGATAGCATTCGCTTCCATTTCAAAAATACGATGATACTAATATGTTTGCATATGAAAATTAATTACATAATCTAAAAGTACGATTTTCTGCAAAAGCAATCTTTAAAATTATATATTTGCAAATTTACTCTAAACTCGCAAAAACATTATGTCAATCCACGTAGTCGAATTTACCCGTACTATATACATTAGAATCTTTCTGGTCATATACATTAGAGTTTCTAACTTCCAATAGTAGAGTCGATTCCTCATCACAAGAGATTTGATTTGATATAGAAATGATCAGAATTTAATATAAATTTGACGAAAATAACGGTGAATTATATTGTAAATTAAATTCAACTTCGTGGATTTCATTTACATTTTTGTAAATTGAGGATATACTTGCAGAAAATGTTATTTGGATGATTTTTTCTTTTTTGAAGCAAACCCAAAAATGTGGTGTTTATTGGGACCGCAAATTTAATATTATAGCAGTTGAACTTTTAATATGTAGCTGAAGGACAGTTTAAGAGTGATTAGTTTTTTTTTCGCTAAAATGTTTTAAGTTTTTATTTAGTTGCTCCTTCTTGATTAAGCTAGCACGGCCAATACAAAAAAGAAAATTTAAATGATTTCAAAAACCCATCAAGTATTCATCTAAACTTTATTTAGTTTGGTAGAAAGGATAAAGTTTAATTTCTTCGTGTCAATTAAGCTTGTCGTAGGCCTCTTTCGTTGACCCAGAAACTGTGAACAAAAATATTAAAATTATATCTGAGGAGGGTAAAGTTTTGTTGAACGGATGTAGTGTGTGTGAACGCGTTAGTCAACTTGCATTACATGAGCTATTTCCACCCGGTCAGATATTTTATTTTGACCTTTTTAAAATTTATATTAAAGGAGTTATTAAATTAGAGGAAAAGACTTATGATGCATAACTTGAAAAATAAATTTTGGTGGAATTAGATATTTATTTGAAAATTTATCACATATTGAAAAATCACAGAGAAAAAGTTCTACCCAATTCCATATGAAAGACTGAACTTTCACAAATATTGTTAAAAATTGTTCCTTTACTATTTTCAAAAGGATTGAGTGGAACAAAATTATTTCTCTAGCATTCTAATTTTACTCATCTTTATTGCACTCATCTCTACTATTCCTATATTGCTCACTATTTAGACCCTTACAATTTTTACAGAAAACTATTTTTCGAAGTCCAATCTGATATTGGTGAATTTGAAAATAATATATATGTTAAGTAAAATTTAGAATGAATAATTAGCTAACCTATATCAATAAAAGATGCACATATATATATAATATATATTTCTCTTAAAAACAAACATACCAACAATAATTATAGTATGTCAACAAATGGAAATGTCAGTACACATACAAAAACCAAATACGAAAAATAAGCAAATGCATACTGAAAATGAGTTTTCTAGTATATCACATATTTACATATTAAATCAAGACTCTAAGTAGTATTATTGTGTTACTAGTATGGCCTTTTATAAGTAAGGACATGCCATGATAATATATATATATATACATATATATTATAATCACTATAATGGACGTGATTAACCTAAAAAATATTACTACCAAGATTAAAGAAGTTTAAGTTTAATAAGAAAAGTAAAGAAATTACAAAACAATTTTTACGAGCAGATATAAAACAGTGTTTTTTGGGTCAACATATAATCCACCCAACGTTGATTTTGGTTTTTGTCGTATATAATCGTAAACGTTGATTTTCTACAAATGTATGTACGTGTGGGCTCATTAGAATGCAATTCGTGCGTCTGCCCGACGACTTTTTTTTACTCGGAGCTAACACTTAGACCACATAACTCACCATCACAACGCTATACACATTTCTATTCATGCACAACAATTAATATTATATTATATTTTTGTAGTCTCTAAAACAAACATATCATTCATTCCCACATGCAATATAATAAAACTACAACAAACTTTTTGACTATGGTGCCAATAACCAAAAACGACATCTCTCTCTCTCTCTCTCTCTCTCTCTCTCTCTCTCTCTCTCTCTCTCTCTCCTTCCGGGAAGCTTACCAAAATGCTTTTGAATTCTCCCACATGCCTTTTGACCAATCCAGTATAAATACTCAAAACCATTAGACAGTCATTCTCAAGCTCATCAACAACATTTGATCATCTAGCTCATTATAAAGTATTTGATCATCTAGCTCATTATTAAGCATTTGATCATTATCATCAGCACAATCTGTCTTGATCGTCAATACCAAGACAAACCTCCGGATTATCATCAGCAATTCGAAACACATAATCGAAAGATGGGAAGAGCTCCATGCTGCGAGAAGATGGGGTTGAAGAGAGGCCCATGGATGCCTGAAGAAGATCAAATCTTGATCTCTTTTATCCATAAACATGGCCATAGTAACTGGAGAGCCCTCCCTAAGCAAGCTGGTATGAACAAAATAAAAACCCCATTCAAAGCTATATATATATATATATAGCATAATTTGCTAACGTTGATTATATAATTTTCTTAACGTTGATGGTGATTATTAATTACAGGGCTTTTGAGATGTGGAAAAAGCTGTAGACTTAGGTGGATGAACTATCTAAAGCCTGATATTAAAAGAGGCAATTTCACCAAAGAAGAGGAGGATGCTATAATCAGCTTGCACCAAATCCTTGGCAATAGGTAATACTTTACATTCTTCTACTTTTACATATAACTTTATATACCTAGGTCTATAAACGTCATACGTACGTCTAACAAAAATATAATAATCATCACAAGAAACATGTCTTGGTCCACTTTTATAATAGTTTATACTATAATCTCTTTGAAAATATTGTATTAACGTTACTTTTTCTTTTCTTTTGGTACGTCTCTAGATGGTCAGCCATTGCAGCAAAATTGCCAGGAAGAACGGATAATGAGATCAAGAACGTATGGCACACTCACTTGAAGAAAAGACTCGAAGATTATCAACCTGCTAAACCTAAGACAAGCAACAAGAAGAAGGGTACTAAACCCAAATCGCATTCTACACCGGCGAAATCCAACAGTACTAGAAGTGAATCGGTGCTCGTGAATTCATCAAACCCTTCTTTTGAAAGTTTGTTCTCGGCATCTCCTTCGACGAGTTATGAGGTTTCTTCGGTGACACTCATGAGCCACGAAGGCAATAGCAACGAGGATAAGATTGATGATAAATCGCGAGACAGCAGTATTATAACTCAAGATCGTTGTTCTTTCGAAAATTTCGGAGCAGACATTGACGAGAGCTTCTGGAACGAGGCGCTTTATAGCCAAGATGAACACAACTACGCATTGAACCCTGAAGCGGCTGGTTTTGATGAGATACAACAAGAGTTTCAGCAGATAGGTTCTGTTGAAAATGAGATGGTTTTGGACAGTGAGATGGACTTCTGGTTCGATGTATTGGCGAGAACCGGAGGGGAACAAGACCTATTAGCTGGGCTCTAACTTAAAATGTTTGAAGAGTAAAGTGTAAACTCTTAACTTTTGATGTGATTAATAGTTAGTTTATTGAATAGAGGTTTCGTTTTGAGAAGATTGTATTCATTTGTTCCTCTAAGATTGAGTAGTTAGCTAGTTCGAGTGATATAATCAATGACAAGTAATTAACTACTATTAGTACTATATGGCCTAGTCTATGAGATAATTAATTAACAAACAAACATCGGATTCCCATATAAAAACAGCGATTAAAATGTATTATATAATGTTCTTTCTAAAGAGGTTTTCAAGTTCAACTATGGCGGAAAAGGAAAAGTAGATTGATGATCATAAACATTTTTTTTAATCAAAATCTTAAGTCTAAAATCAGAGAAAACTATATAAACTATGCTAAAATAAAAAAAGATAAAACTATCGGTTTACTGTTAAACACAGTTATTTTTATTTCTTAATACAAACCAATGAGAAAAATGAGAAACGATATTACAAAATATATAAAAAGAAGAAATCATACTGAACCGTGGCTAAAATTCATAAAAAAGGTTTAGATCTAGAGAATGATTATTATTCTTAGGCTCGAATTTTTAGCCAGCAAAACGAAATAATCATTCAAAACCTAAAAGTATAAATTGATTTAAAATATAGTAATTAAGCAGAGATTTAGGCTTCTAAATTAATACTACGATCAATGGTGTTATCAAATATTTTGTTGATTTAGAATTTAGTTTTTAAATCTAGAACTAAACAAAAAGAGAAAATAACATGGTAATATGGTATAAACTATAAAGAAGCCGACAAAAAAAAAGCTATAAAGAAAAAAAAACAACCCGTTAAAATCTAACATGTTTATGTGAAATTTATTATTATTAATTTAATACACGTGAATTATGCGTACGAGGCAAAACCAAACATGGTCTGATAACGACATTCCACTACTCTCCAGAATCGTCGTCCGTTAATCCGAACTAACGGAAGTATTAACGCCGTCTATATTCACCGTTAATTTTTCTAGTTTTTTTTTTTAAAAAAGACGTTTCTGGAAACATGTATTTCTTTCTCTGCCAAATAAAAACCAAACAAAACAATCGGATTCATTTTTCGTCATCATCATCATCATCATCATCATTCACCACTTCGAGCAATTAAGCAGTCTATTGATCACTTTCGTGTGTTTTCTTATGAATTGTAGAGTTACAAATTCCCACAAATAATTCATATTCGAAACTCAACATGGCTACTGCATCAGGTTGGTATCATTTTCTCATCTCTTTCGAAAGTTAAAAAGGATAATTTTTTTTCATGGGTTTAGACGGAAGAGATTAACCAAGAAACTGGATATGCCTTATAATTCAATGTATGTTCTTAGCATTTGTGTTAGTTTTGGCTCTCGCTACAGTGTGATGTCTCTTCCTTGGCTCTGTTTTGAAGAATATGACTTTATTGTCTATAGATTGAATGCTTTTAGTGTATAAATGGGTATTGAATCAATGGAGCTTTGCATAAAGAAATGAATAAACTTTGCATTGCAGTTGTGTTTAAGACTAGAGAAGAGTATAGAAAGCAGTAAGAACTGGAGGAAGCTCGTAAAGCCGGGCTTGCTCCAGCGGAGATCGATGAGGAAGGAAAAGAGATTAACCCTCACATTCCTCAATACATGTCATCTGCTCCATGGTACCTCAATGCCGAGAAACCTGTAAAGTCTATGTTTTTACACCAATTCTTTCTTGTGAATGGTTTTTTTGTTGAATGAATGCTTAAAAATTGTTTCTTTTTTCTTTTTCTCCAGAGCTTGAAACATCAAAAGAAGTGGAAACCTGATATAAACTATACAAAGTCATGGTACGATAGAGGAGCGAAAACATTTCAAGCAGAGAAGTATAGGAAAGGAGCTTGTGAAAAGTAAGTAAGCCAACAAGAAAAAACTCTTTTCTTTCTCAGGTTTTGAGTCTTGTGTCATTGATCGAATTTTTTTCAGCTGTGGGGCTATGACGCATAAGACGAAACTGTGCACAGAGAGGCCAAGAAAGATAGGAGCAAAGTGGACGAATAAGAATATTGCTCCTGATGAAAAGATTGAGACTTTCGAGCTTGATTATGATGGGTAAAGGGATAGATGGAACGGTTACGATACAGCTCAATATGCTAGAGTGGTAGAGAGGTATGAGGCTAGGGATGAAGCAAGAAGGAACTTCTTAAATGACCAGCAATTGAAGAAGCTTGAAAAGAAAAGTGACAAGCAACTTGTGGGGGAAGAGTTTAGTGATGATGATGAAGAAGAAGATGCTCTGAAACATGATGAAGCCAAAGCTGATGAGAGCAAGCAAATGGACTTTGCTAAGGTAGAAAAACGTGTTCGAACTACTGGAGGTGGCAGTACAGGAACTGTTAGGTACTTAGGTTGGTTAATGTTTTGATTCTTGCTTAATCTTTGAAATGTTTGAGCATGATATATTGCTTGATATGTTCTCTCCTCAGGAACTTGCGTATCCGTGAGGACACTGCGAAATATCTTCTAAATCTTGATGTCAATTCTGCTTACTATGATCCCAAAACTCGATCTATGCGTGAAGATCCTCTTCCCAATGCTGATCAAAATGAGAAGTTCTATGCGGTAATTAAGTGCTTGAGAATCTGTATTTTGCAGCGGCATGCAGTTATTACATTGACCCTTATTGATAAATATGGAAATGTGTCAGGGAGACAATCAATACAGAATGACTGGACAAGCTCTAGAATCCAAGAAGCTCAATATTCACTCATTGAAATCATTTGAGAAAGGGCAGGATGAGATTAACATGCAAGCTGCTCCTTCTCAAGCCGAGCTGCTTTTCAAGAATTATAAAGAATCAAAAGAAAAACTGAAGAAACAGATCAAAGAAACCATCATGGAGAAATATGGAAACGCTGCTTCTGAGGAAGAAATCCCAAAGGAGCTTTTACTGGGGCAAAGCGAGAGAGAAGTTGAATATGACCCGTTGTGGAAGAGTTATTAAAGGATTGGTAATACATGAACTACTTATCCTCCACACTAGTTGCTGTTTTGGTATTTTCCATATAATCAATATTCCTTGGTAAACTTCATAATTCATTAACATGATCACATCCCTTATCTCAGACATACTTCACATAAGTATAGGGGCATGAATTCTGTTTCTTCTTACTTTTCTTGTATCATCTCTTTGTTTGATTGTGTTTTCACAGGAATCATGGCTACCTAAAAGCAAATATGAGGAAGATGTTTATACAAACAACCACACAAGTGTATGGGGGTCATGGTGGAAGGATCATCAGTGGGGATACAAATGTTGCCAGCAAACAATCAAGAACAGCTATTGCACCGGAGTTGCAGGAATCGAGGCGGCTGAGGAAGCTGCAGATCTGACGAAAATCAATTTTGAAAGACGCGCTGCAGCCTCTTATGGTTTAGAAGCTTCTTGCATTATCACTTTCTATTTATTTTGTTCAACTTTGTCTCTTTACATAGAGCTTATCTATATGTGTGCGATTTGCAGAGATGTCCGATCCAATAAAGGAGAAAAGATCCCTGACTTGGGGAAGTGAAACACCACATGATCTTGTTCTTGACAAGAAAAAACTTGCGGAAGCTCTCAAGAAGGTATGCATTTCAATAAAAAAATTTGGTCCTCATTGGTGTTACGTTTGATAATGTCATTTGTTTGCACAGGAGGATGAGAGAAAGAGTGAGGAGAAAGACGAGAGAAAACGCAAATACAACGTCCGGTGGAATGATCAGGTACATGTATATTTCACTGCAGATGCGATTATAGAGCTAACTATAGAGTTTTGATAAACTGAATTATATTTACGAAACATCTGTTCTAAATTTCAGGTTACGCCCGAGGAGATGGAAGCTTACCGAATGAAAAGAAGGCATGAGAATGATCCTATGAAGAATCTTGTGCACTAAGGTAGCTTTTTCACAGAAACTAGTTTAGATTTTGTGAGAACAGAACTAAACAAGTTCTCTTTTTTTTTCGATCTTTGGCTATTGTTGTTTTATGAACTTTTGCAATTTCGTATTTGCATTATTAAATACTTAAATTAGTGCAAATATCTTAACTTGTCATTTTTGACTCAATTTTCAAAATAGGAAACGGAAGAGGATCGAGGAAGAGTGGAAATGCAAATACCAATTTTCAAATTAGTGCAACATTTCCACTCAATTATTTTATAGGTTGTAGTCACCAAAATTGGTATGACCAACCTTGAAATCAGATCTAGAGTCTTCTTACAATTTTCCAATCCTAAACACATGATTTACAACTTTACTTTGTGTTCTTCTATTAGGAACTCTAATGAATACTTACAAGTTACAAGTTTACTCTTCTCCAGTAACTTGCGATCTTGTCTTATCCGAGACCAATCCTGGAGACTCCCTGAGGCCGTTGTTCATCTACAAACGATGGATGGATCCCAACTATCTTTACCATAAAATGGTTTGTAAACCTTTTCCATTTAACTAATGTGATGAAGGGTCATGACTCATGATGATGGATCGTTTCTCTTGAGAAGTAGTACATTGTTCATTCGAGAAAAGAGCCATGTATTCGATCGCTTCAATATGTTATTTTAGAGGAGATGATTGATGGATATTTTAACAAAGAAGTAGTACATATTGTTCCTTTTGACAAGTTCTATTTTTAATATATTTCTCTCTGTTTATTTGTTTACCCGTTGCCTTATTTTCTTGTTTGTTTTAGGCACTTATGCAATATCGTATTTGCATTATTAGATACAAATTAGTTATGTAAATTATCTTTCTTGGCCTATCTGGAAACCGATATATACATAGTTGGAATTAGGTCTTTCTCGACTGTCGCTTGCTCCGTCGCTCTACATATATATCTCCCTCTCATTTTATATTGATTATTTATTTGCAAAGTTATTTGATCACAAGTCTCTATGGAGCGTAGAAGCCTTCCAAGAGATTTGATAGAGGATATACTATCTAGGGTTCAGGTTAAATCTCTAGCACGATTGCGATCAACATCGAAACAATGGAACGCTCTATTGAAATCTAATGGCTTTGCTAAGATACACTCTGCTAATGCACCAAAGGAGGAGTCTCTGAATATCATGTTGATGGATTCTAGGGTTTGTTTAGTAAGGATCAAATACCGTGGAATTCACGACAACAAGGTTGCTCCATCTTTTAAGGTAGTAGCTCAATTCTACCTTAAAGATCCACTCTCTAGTTCTTCACAAGTCGATATAGGTAATATCTTTCATTGCGACGGCTTATTGCTATGCACCACCAAAGATAAAAGACTTGTGGTTTGGAATCCATGTTCAGGGTTAACCAAGTGGGTTAAACCTAGAGACAGCTACAAGGAATCCGACTACTATGCTCTTGGTTATGACAACAAATCTTCGTGCAAGCAATACAAAATCTTGAGGGTGGATCGTCGTGAGTACGGTCGTCATAACAGCTACGAGATTTATGACTTCACCTCTAATTCGTGGAGAGTTCTTGGTGTGGCTTCTGATTGGGTTTTAAAAGAGCATCGAAGTGGCATATCCGTGAAGGGAATTACATATTGGGTTGCTACTCAACGAAGGAGGCCATACGCTGATTTCTTACTTAGTTTTGATTATTCAAAAGAGATGTTTCAAAGTCTGTCTCTTCCTTATCCTTTTCGATATAGAATACCGGTTCTATCAGTGGTTCGAGAAGAGGAACTTTGTCTGTTAGGTACTAATGTCATTCACGGGCGTTTGATGGTTGGGGAGGCATATCCATCAAATATACAAGTATGGGTATTGACTAGTACCGGATCATGGAACAAGTCCCTAGCAGTGAGACCCATTCACTATCAGGGATATCTATATAATTTTCAGGGATATCCATTTAATTTTTCTGAAAGGATGAGTTTCTTGGTAGACGAGCAGAACAAAGTTGTCGTGGTTTGCGCCAACAACATCTTAGACATTGTGCAAGAAAATAAAAACATACTAGAGTATCATCATGCTGTAAATTCTACAGGCACACCATCATCTTGCTCACTTCTTCTGAATTATGTTCTAAGTTTGGCTCACATCAAACAACCTTCTCTTAGAGAACTTTTCATGCTGGAGGACGCACAGGGCAAGTGACTTATAGGTAATTATCACACTGATATATCCAAGTCTCTTTCCCCATGTTTCTTTAGGTACTTTCATATCGTTAGAGCAGGTTTCAGATTTTCTCGTTTGTGTCCGGTTTTATATTTCCTTTTCAACTTGGTCTATGCTTTTTCTTTTTCCCGAGGACTTGACATTTACGGGTTCCATATTTTTTTATTTCAATTGGATAATTTTTATTATGTTTCTCGTTAAATAATATCACTATTTGACCACAACATTTAGCATATTGGGTTATGCTACCGGAGTCCGTGTTCTTCCTAATAATTCATTGCAGATCTTATGAATTATGTTCCAAGTTTAGGTCAAATCCTACAATGTACACTTGGTGGAGGACGCAAAAGGAACGCACATGAGAGGTAGAGGCGTAGAGCAAAAACGTGACTTGTAATTGTCACACCCAATCTTTGACTTCATAAAACTAGAACCATTTCGATTGGTATTGGTTTTATTTTTTTCTCTTGAAAAAATTAATTTCGAACATTTGGAACAAATACATGGGTGCATTTACCCTTTTATTGAGAATGAAGACCACATGTAAATGCCTAAACAAATTTTCGTATAATATACAAAAGTAGTCGAAAATTTCTTTGATGTACAAAAAAATTGTTCAAGGAACCACTTTTTTCTCGGATGAACCATTACGATTTACTTCTCAATGGAAAAAACAATGTAGTCACACCAAACATGCTTCTGCGTAACCTTGTTGCGAGAAAATTGATGGTGCGATCATCCTGATTACTAAGAGCATGTGTAATGGGAGAGATCCCCATAGATTTTTACCTTTTTTTATTATTAAAATGTATTGTTTTAGTATTAGAGATTTAATAGAAGAAACCTAAATTTTTTAAAAGTTCAGTGAGAAAAACCTGAATTTTGTCAAGTAAAAATAAAAAGAATAAGAACCCAAAACAAACTTTTTCTCTTTCTTCTCTTTTATTCAATGAAATTTGGGCATGTGAGACGTTTCTCTCATCTCTAAATTAAGAAACATTTTTCAGTTTTTTTTGTGTTTTTCATTTATTTATTTTGGAAAAAATCGTAGAGACAGTAGTTAAATACCCCGTTGCACTTACTCTAAGACCATCAGCAACTCGGTTTCTACAGCCGTTTCTAAACATTTTTTTGATAAAAATATTAAGCATAAGAGATTTATCTTTGAAGACGTCTCTTAAAGACAGAAAGAAACGTTTCTTCCAGCCAGATATTATGTCTCCATTGGGTATCATAATTGGGGACAAAATCTGTCTAATTTTTTTTCATGTGTTACGACCCACTTGAAGCAGTTTTGGTGACGAAAAAAACCCTCCATTGAACCATACAAAAGCAATAAATCTCTTAACTAAATTTTAATATTAAAAAATGAATAAAAGACCCATATGAGTTTCTGCATTGCAGATGCTCTAAATTAGTGACTCGTGAGACATGAACGAATTCATTGTAATATACAATTGTCTACTATCAGTTAAATCTCCTGAAATAAAATGATTAAGGCCATTCATAGTAGGAAACTCTTGTATTAGCTAGAAATGTGTAATATAAAAAAAGTTACCAATTTTTGTGATAAAACAATAGACGTTGAACTAAAAATTAATTATCCTATTTTCAAATGTTATGGCATGAAAAATCGAAGTTTTTTTAAAAAATGTGTCAAAACTGTACTTTTTTTTTTGAAAAAAAAAAGAGGGAACAGTGGTATTGTTTTTCTTGTGAGATCAACAAGGATTTAGCTCCCGGAAAAACAATGAACTCAATTTATTTAAGGAATAATTGGTTAAACAGTTATGAAATCTGTCTCCATATGGTAAGAAGTCGAGAGGGGGCCTTACTCTTTTTGTCTTTCGTAGGATTTTTTGTTTTCTTTTTCTTTTGTCGTTTATGTTGTTTCGTATTTAAATTGAATAAATTCTTATTTATTTTCATGAATTACAATGTTATCGTGTCGAGAGATACATACAACGTGTTAACGTATTACAAATTAGGTAATACCACTAGATACCAAATAAATAATCGGATATTAGTTTCTTCTATCTGGTATTATTCAAGATTTGTTCACAAGGAAAATACTTTAGAATCCCTATATCTATAAATTTTCAGACATCTCTCTTTGTGTGGGATCCAAAGCATGAAAATATGTCAGTTAATTTATTTCTCTCTCCCATACACAACTGTTTGTGATTTAAAAAAAAATTTGATAATAAAACAAAACCATAGAAATTGGAAAGAGAAAAAGTCCTCTTTTCTCTTTATTGAAATTGTTCTTTGTGGAAGTCGTCTTCTTCTCCATTCTTTGTTTTTTTTCTCCATTCCTTATAATTCTTCTTCCTAGCAATATTATAGTTTATTTTGGTTGTGATAATACTGTTTTCGGCTGCTGTTTCTATTTTAAAGGTTGTCTATTTGGCGGTGATTTTCCAATATTGCAAACAGTATAAGTTTTATTTTTTCATCCCACTTAGTTTTATGTGTTCGTTATTTTGTATATCTATGAGGTTTAACAGATATTGCTCCTAAAGTAGATCCTCCTTACCAATTTAAAATTTTTTTTTTCATTATTGCCGACCATACTTGCAAGAAAAATGGCGGATTTGGAGTTACCTCAGAAAATCCTCGCCACAGACTATGTACCAATCGGCGAAATGGTCAATATATACCAGAAATTGACGGTTCTATCAGAGATCGAGCATGCACTTGCTGAGAAAGAAAGACAGTTTCTTTACAAGAGTCAATTTGGAAAATTGTTCAAAATCTCTGGAAAACCGGCCTAGTCTGGTGCATTTGTTCTGTTCACCCTGACGCGAATGCTGGAAGTTGGTAAAGAGAACGAGATTTGGGTCTTATTTACTGGTAAACCTATTCAGTTTAGTCTTCGTGAGTTCAAAATAGTGACGGGGCTATGCTGTGGGAAATATTCTCCCGCTACAAAGAAGAGAATGAGTTCCAACAATGGCGACACGTTCTATGATAACTTATTTAGTGGTACTAGAGATATTTTGGTTAACAGCATACTCCAGATGCTTTAGAATTAGTCATAATGACGATATGTTAACGATGTGTATGTTATCCAGTTAACGATAACGATAGGTATGTTATCTAGTAGAATGTTAACAATATCTTAATGAGGTTTGGTGTAAGGTTTATTATGAATGTGTTTACTGTTTACCTTATATGTTTATGGTTATCTGATTATTTACTCCAATGGATAACGTTGTTAACGACCAACTGTTATCGATAACTTCATTTTAGTTAGGATTCATAGTTGAAGATATTGTGTTTAGTGTTTTTGTGATAGGTTTATATTGACTAAGTTTGGGTTCACCGTTAAGAGATTAGGTTTTAGATTTAAATTATAATGCTATAGTGTTTTATATTAACGATTTATCGTTTAAGGTTTAGTGTTTAGAGTCTGATTTTAGAGTTTATTGTTTACTGTTATGTTTATATGTTAATGGTAATCTTATTAGTTAGTCCTATGGATAACTACGTTAACGGTACACAATTATCGACCATTTTATTAAGTTAGGGACCATCCTTGATATGTTAGGTTTATTGACAATTGTATTAAGTTAGATAACTATGTTAACGACTAACTACGTTAACGAGATATTGTTATAGGGTCCACACTTGAAGATTGTGTTTAGTGAATTGGGGATATGGTTTATATTGATTACATTGGAGTTCACTGTTGAGAAATTAGGTTTTAGATTAAAGTTATATTGTTATACTGTTTTTGGTTTATGGTTTATCGCTTATGGTTTAGTGTTTAGGGTCTGGTATAAGAATTATTGTTTACCGTTTTGTTTATATGTTAATGATATTTAGTCCTACGAATAACTACGTTAACAGTACACAGTTATCGTCTATTTTTATTAAGTTAGAGACTGCCTTTGATATGTTAGGTTTATCGATAATTGTATTAAATTAGATAACGTAGTTAACGGATAATTACGTTAACGAGATACTCTTTTCTCTTTGTAAAAATTTGGAGATGTAAAAATAATTTGGAGATGTAAAAATTTTTTAAGTTGTTATTTCGTTTATCAATGTTTGTTATCTGTTTTTCACCTCACAATAATATGATACACCAAATCATTTTGCAAGCGTTGGGAGTTGTTATCTATGCTATCTATGCATCCTTTTGACGAGCATTTAATGCTCCCCTACTGAATTTTTTTGTTGTCAGCTGCAAGTTGGAATGACGTAATGAGAGATAGGGATAAAGTGGTAAAGAAAATTACATGTGTCAGTTGCTAACTAATTTTGGATTATCTTTTGGTATATACCTTATTATTTAGTCAACTTTTGGCTCTGAGCCAAATCACCCTTACAAATTTATCCCTCAAGAATCTCTCAATTCTCAGCTACATAAAATATTTTAATAATCTTAAGTCAAAAAAAAAAAACAAAAGGAAGGTAGAAAAATAAGCTTATCCAATACATTAAGTAAATCTAATGTAATAAATACATAAATTAAGTGCTTTTTTTCCTTAAAGTTAAATTACATGTATCAAATGATGGTAACATGAGAAATCATGCTAAACAGCTAGTTAGTTTAGTGTGTGTGCGAGTAAGTGAGCACACTTACAAAATCAAGTAACAAAGAAGCAAGGAAGCAGAGAAACAAGTTAAACAAAGAATCTATGAACTAAACAGAGAAATCAAAGAAGCAGAGAAAAACAATGCACTAAACAAAGGAATCATCAAAGAAGCAAAGAAACAAGCAATGCACTAAACAGGGGCAAAAAGAAGCTAAGAAGCAAGCAATGCACTAAACATAGGAATCAAAGAAGCCAACAATGCACTAAAACAGAGAAATTAAAAAAGCAAAGATGCAAGCAAGTAGAGCATGTAAGGAAGTAATCAAGAAAACAAGGAAGCAAAAAAAAAAAAACAGCAATGAAGTAAACAAAAAGAAGCAAAGAAGAAAGAAAGTAAAACAGGTCAAGCATGTAAGCAAAGATGCAATATAGGAA